CAGGAATGCTTTGTTTTCCATCCCTTTTTCCTCCCAGTCCAATATATTATTTCAGGTTTTCAGATTCCCTGTGTACCTCAGAAACTGAACTACCCCAAAGCTCCAGCTTGAGACCCTGCACTATCTGTTGAGCAAAGAAGACTGTAACTGTGACTTCTCTGGGGTTACATGTGTGCAGCTTGGCCAGTTAGCCAACCAAAGAGAAGCATTAACAGTTCAGCTTTTCTCAGAGTGAGAAACGGTTAACTAATTAACCAGGATCAATCCTTGACCCAGTCACCACTTTTCACAGAAGTTCTTTGAACTTCTTCTATTCAAGATTCTCTGCCCAGGATGGGTCTGTCAAATCGTGAAGTGGCAAATCGTTACTGGGAGTTAAAAAACTTTCACAAGAGATGAATTGAAGGTCTAATCAAAAGGCAATTCACTCAGCTTTATGAAACACAAATAAAAATAGTTTGTTTCTTTCCAATGTGTATGTAAAACCAATCAACTGCGTGTACACTACCTTGCTGTAATGTATATTTCAGACTGAGTTCCCTGGCTGTCCACATTGTTGTGGCCCTGGAGCATATTCTGTGGCATCGCTAATGTAGGCTAATTGCTATGTGGGTCACCACTCCTTTTTGTAGGACACATTTTTTAGGGGCCTGCAGTTTTACCTCTGCGAGCTATTCCAGGGAACTGGAAGGCAGGCAAGGTTGGTGCTGCCCCTGTGCTGGGAATGCGTCTGCCCACCTCATCATGATCACTACTGCATGCCAGGCCTGTGGTGTAAAGTCCCACAGGGGTAGTCCTGCCAGAATGGAGCTACTAAAATAGTGTGTTGGCTGCCTGGCAGGGTTTTTCTGGTAGTGCGAGGATATCCCTTCAGTATTCCCACTGTAGGTTCCGCAGGCTGTCTGGGGAGGACACAATGCCATAAGTGTCTGTGGGGGAAACACACACCTGGACACAAATCTGAACCTGACATGAAAAGATTAATGTCATACAATGTGGTGCTAGGATGTCAGCCAGAACCTCTTCCTGTGTTTAATTCAAGTCCAAGTCCCCTTTTAGAGGTGTAACAGGGGGGATAGTCCAGAAGGTCACTAGGTGGTTTGCAATGAGTTAGGCTGGCTTGGTTTCATTGGACCTTAACAGTTTTCCATCCCCATTCTTTTTAAAGAGGCTATAGGGTGATCCATCTTCCAGTGTCAGTCCTAGTGACTTCTACCCCAAAGTCCCTTGTACTATTTTATTATATTATATTATATTATATTATATTATATTATATATATAGCATAATAGAAACTACCTGCCTGTTGAACTGCCAGGATGAGTTAAAAGAGGGGAGGAAAAAAAAAAAAAAAAAAAAAGAAGAAAAGGTTGCAGAAATTATGGCTTTCAGGTCTCAGGTAATCAAAAAACCTTGCAAGGGGTCCAGCTCCCGAAGAAAAAGAAGTAGGGGTAATGCATCCTTTTTCTTCCTCAGCTGCAGTCAGGACTTGACTGTTCATTTATTCAGCACAGATATGTTTGTGAAATTATTTGAATCATCTCCAAATCAGTTCAGGAAATCCTGAGCTGGGCCACATACTGGCATTTTGGCAACACTTGCTGGGCAAGAACTGGCCTATGAGTATTGCAGAACAGATAGTCAGTTATTATTATTAGTTTTCCCTCTGCAGGACTATTAATTGCCACAGGTTGTTCTGCTCAGGTCAGTTCCAGGCTTTGAGTAAATTTATGGTAACACAAGATGCACAACTAGTACACTAATGTGTTACATCTCTCTGATACTCTTGTGGTCACACTGATTTGTTCAGAATATGTTTACACAATGACAAAGCCCTAACTACAGGTTGCCTAAACTTGCAGTCAAGTGTTCCCAGTGTCAGTATGTTTGGAGTGCACATCTGAATAAAATCTTAGATCTGGTTTAAATATAAATGACTAAGTCTGCATTTTGGCTCTTAAACAGTAATGGTCTGCTTTTCAAGAAGCTAAGCTTGTTGAACTACGTTTATCCCCCACTACTGGCAATCCTATTGTTTCTGTTATATATATGTAAATAGTATAGACCTCCTTCAGCTCACCTTTATCTGCACCAGTATTACATGTGGAAGGTGGATAGAGTGGTTTATACTGGGGATGATGGAAGACTGGCAAGCATCGGTGGTACAATTGAAGATGAGGTGAGTTGTTTCCCCAAGTGCTGTGAAACCTGATTGCGAGTGGAGGAGAAAAAGGTCTGCTGCTGCTTTTCATTTGTTGCTGGGTTTTGTGCATTTACATTGGTGGTACTTCATGAATAGTATTTCAGAAGAAGTGTTTCAGAAGAAATCTGTCATTCACAAGAAATCTCTCATTTTTGAAGTGTAGAACAAACGGGGTAAAGGTGGCAAGTCTGCAGAGATGTGAAAGATTTCATTCAGCAGCAGCTGTGCATGAAACTTACTATGCCAGTGGATGCACAAAACCACTTCTCTGTTCTCTGTTAAGTGCATTGCCCATAAATTCTTTCCCTTCTGGAGAATAAAATTAACATAACTCCAGCTAGCTAATATTTTTATGTGTAGGGCCCATCAAGTTTATGAATGCACAGACTAGCACGCTTATGAGTGCACACATTGTCGAGTTTATAAGCAGAACACATAACAGCTATGCTCAAAGCACATGAAGTTTATCTCTTGGCATATAAAACTCAATTATGAAAAACAAAAGCTGAAAAATTACTTCAAACTCCTTTTTTTTTTTCACCCTTCCAACCTATATGTTACAGCAGGTCTTTTCACAATAAGCCTCAACTGAATTTTTAATGTACTGACAGAGGAGTTTTTTTAAGATACTACCTCATGTATGTTAAATTGGGCTACTGTAGCCAAATTTCAGGCAGAACATAGTTTTGAAGACTTCCAGTTAAAAATCATAACAAAGCAAAATTAATAGCATACAGAAAATTCAAAGTGCCAAAAATCTAAATTGTGAATGCTTGTATCAAAATCCTACTAATCTCAGAGAAAAGCCCAAATTTGTTAATATTTAAGCCATTTTTTTAATACAACCCTCTCTTTGCTGTAGCCAAGACATGTCCATGTAAAGTGTATAAAAATCCTAATGTAACATACCTACACTAACTTTTAGTTTATTCTACGTGTATCAGTATTGCATGTAAATTCCATACTTGACACCAAGAAATCTGCATTAATACATTATCTGAAGAGCTAGACTATATTAATTTAATAACATATTAATTACACAGTGCCAATTATACACATGGAAGACTAATTAAAAAAACCACAAAAAAACAGTGCTCAAGTGTACACAGGTACTTCATATCTGGAATGGACAAAGTGTACAATTTTCTTTTCTATGTGAAACAGCACAGAACACTGTGTTACTTAGCTCTTCTGTTTTATAATTACAAACTCTCCCTTCCTGGTACTTAACTACGCTAAATACTACCTTAATTGCTAGGCTAATGCCAGTGGCCACTGAGCAGAGCACATACCTCCCCAATACACTGAAAAGCCAGCTACTCTGATCAAATGCTCAACTACGTGAAATAAGATATTGTATTTGAGTTGTGCTATGGGACGTTACTCACTTTTCATCATATAAGGCAGAGTCCCAATACTACAAAACAACAGAGTGTATTTAAAGCACGTGCTGCTAGTATCAACCATGAAACCACAGCAAGAGCAGTATTTACTGAAAGAAGCCTGAGGCCCAAGGCTAGTCTTACTGACACTTCTTTTGCTGAAGCTGAAACTCCTGTCTTTACCATCAGTATCCATCACAGATCTTTTTTTCTTCTGTACTTTTTCCTCTCACCTATCCCCTCACCCACGGTAACCTTGATCCCTGTCCTCTTACATTCAGTGAGATGTTTGGTTTCTCTGGACCTCAGCAGCAGCAATGCTGAAGAAAGACAAGAGACATTCTCCCCACTGGAGGTGCAGGTGCCCAGAATTCAGAGGCCACCACATCCTGGATCAAGCAACTTCAAATAACCTGCTGCTGTGCTGACTGGAGAAGCAGAGACTTTGGGGAACTTAGCAAAGTTTCTACTGTGCATGGGTAAATATGAGTCTTTAAACATTCATCATTTTGCTTGGGGAGGATAATAAGAAGGGTTGAGTCTTCTTAAGCCTTGGGGCGAGAACCACGTCCCAGTTTCAAATAGGTCCCACAGGCAGTGTTCATTGAGTCTGACAATGAACTTAATCTATTCATGTACATGGTGTGTAGTCACTGAGACAAGACTCTCTTGCACGTGTGATGCAAAGCCATATTCTACAGCCGAGGAATACAGCAGGTGCCTTAGACATGCTGTACTTGCATGCATGGTGTCAGAGCTTTGAGCACCCATAACATGACATTGAGGGTAAATCTGAAAGGAACAAATAAACTCTCTGCCAGTAGGGCAGCACTTGTATTATTAAAACCTGGTTCTAGAGGACTGTGTTTTCAGTTAAAATATAAGGGGTTATTTTTTTCCTTCTCTGGCCTTGCTTTTTTGGGTTTTGGAGTGGTTTGGGGTTTTTGTGTGTGTCCAAAACATTCAAGCTGAGGAAAACATCCAGCTAATCCTTGTTTGTTTGTTTTCCATTGTTTATAGGTTTGCCAAGCTTTAACTACTTAGAAGAAGGTTTCTGTCCTGGGTGTCACTTTTTTTTTTTTTTTCTTTTTCAGTTGTTAGGGGTTTTTGTTGTTGTTGTTGTTTTGTTTTTGTTTTGTTTTTTAAAGGGGAAGGAATAGGCAGAAGTTTAGGTTATTTTGGAAGGGGTAGTATTTCAGTTGGGAAATCTATAAGCAACTGCAAACAAAAGTTTAGAATTCTGAAAACAGCATAAAAATATTTCTAGCAGAGATTTTCATAAGAAAAAACTTTTTGTTGTCTTTGTACAGTTGCTTTTCAGGGTGGTGAAATCAGCATATAAAAAATTATAGTCAATATTCCCACTCTTATGTCATTAATTTTTTATCCAAACCCCAGATGGTCATAAGCATCTACTTCTTAGACAAAGAGACAACAATATACAATTCTTACAGGCAACAGACAAGTGTCACTGGATGTGTTCCACAATAGAAACAAAAAAAAAAACCCAAAACAAAACCAAACCTGCTTATTCATATAAAACTATAAACAATTTTGCCTATATATCACCTAGAATTAATAGTGATTTTTATTACATCAGTGTAGATATTTCAATTCTAAATAACTGCAGCATCAAAATAATTGTTTGATTTTATTGATACTTTGATTGTTTTCCTTCCCTTAATGGCTTCACAAGACAAAGTACATCTTTTGAATCATGATTATGTGACATTTCAACTGGAGACTATTGGAAAATGTATTTTCTTTCATACTATATAAGCAAAAAAATGATTTTGCTAAACTCTGTGTTGAAACAAAGTACACAGTACAAAAGTTTGTTGTTTTAAATTATGAAAAAGGGAGATTAAAAAGGTTACTCAACTACAACTTTAGCTAATATAGTTCAGTGTAGCAAGCATTATAAACTGGCAAATGTGCAAAGAGTTGAGGTAAAATGAGCAGCTATATAAGCTGGTTTTGGATTACCTTTATGCAACTGAATAAAAAAGTTTTCATTCAGGCTGCACTGTAATATTATGCCAAGTTTGACCATACATTCAAAAGGAGAGAAGTTTTGAGTATACAAATGGAGGAAATTAAGTTTTCTTTTTCTCATCTGAAGGTCATGCTCCCTCTTGCATTACTACCTCCCATATTTGCGCTCTTGTCTGTCCTGTTTCTCACAATGGCAGCAGCCACCTGAAAAAGCAAATTATTTTGGACAATTTATGGACAATTTCCTTTTCCTTTTGGAGAAAGATTTTGAAATGGCCTCTTCTTCTACAAGAAGTTAGCCTTTCTTCCACCATGTGCTCGCTCTTTCTTCTCTTGCTTTCTAAATTAATTCTCTCCCTCTGCTCAGTGATGTGCCTTTGTAGCTAGCAGCTGTCCCAGTGATCACCAGCAGAACCCTCAGACACCAGCATGCCTTCCCTGCAGAGGGCTGGTGTTAGGTATTTACACACGGGTGACCTACTTCACTGCCTAACTGGTTTTGACACTATTTTCCAGCTATATGGATTAAGATTTTTTCTTCCTGAAGTCATCAGTCTTTCTCCTAACCTTTCATGACTCTGAATCATGTCATAATGGTAAACCTCATGGCCTCTGAATCTTCTCTTTTCTACAGTATTTGCATGTGAAACTGCTATACTGGGAAATTAAAACGCATCTAGTTCAGTGTCTGGTTTCCAGCAGCAACCAATAGAGGATGCCCAAGGAAGAGCTCGTGAACAAGGTAAATATTTAGTCCCCAAGCATTCCCAGTGTCCAGTAATCAGTGGATTGGAGGCTTCTGCAGTGTAAACAGTGGGTAGTGTTTTCTTATTTAACAGTCCTCATACTTAACAGACTTTATTCTGTTAATTTGTTTGATTGAGTTTATCTTTCAAACCTTTAGCATATTGCAGTACCTTACAGTATCTTGCAGCAAAGATTTGCACAGCTTAAAATTATGCAGAGAATCCATTTTTTTTAACATGCTTTCTACGAGCTTCATTAATATTCTTAGTACTCATATTGGGAAAAGACAGTAACAGTGTCTCCATCTTCATCTTTTCTCTGTCACCGGTGATTTTGAAGACCTCTGTCGTATCTCCCCTCAGTCATCTTTTTCAGAATTAAGGACCTCATGCAGAACCATTCTGTTTCTTTGGTTATCTTTGTCAAATATTTTCTGAATGATTTCCAGTTCTGTTATGCCCTTTTGAGATGTGAAGAACAACTGTACATACTACTCAATATACAGAGAGCTATGGATTGATACTGGGGCGGGTGTGTTACAATGTTCTCTGGTTTATTCTCTGTTCCACTCTTAATACTTCTAAATATTTTATTTCTCTTTGTGAGTAAAAGGGAACATTGTGCTGGCATTTTCAGAGAAATGTTAATCATAACACAAAGATCTCATTTGTGAGTGGAAAACCAGCTTACAGCCCATCACTGTATGTACTTTTTTTTTTCCCATGTGCACTATACAAAACTACATCAAATTTTAGCTACTGTTTTATTATCCAGTCACTCAGTCTTGTAAAGTCTTTCTTAATTTCTTCAGTCAGCCCTTCGACTGCATCACAATTTGTCCTCTAACTTTTC